AAGAAGGGTATACACCACATACAGTTAAATGTTTTTGCAGTTGATTTATGTATATGCTTTTTTTATCAGCAATAATTTATGTGTATGCTTCAAACTCAAAAACAAAGAAGCAAAAAAAGGAAAGAAAAAGAAGGGTATACACCACAAACAATTAAATGATTTCTTCTTTCAGACCAATAAAAAACATTTAACTAATTGTTAAAACTGGAAGGATAAAAGGAGTAAGACCTGTTATTTATTTCCTCATTGCTGATAGAGAATATGATAATCAAATTCTTGCCCATCATCAATGGACACTAGAAATGAAAGGCAATGCATCAAGCAACAAGAAGAATCAAATAAGTTTCACACCTCTTTCAAAGTAACAAGGCAATTATCTATCGCACACTTTAAGATCATTATTATGATCATTTATTTTGAACAAAAAAAGAAGAAAAACCATAATATGTAGATATATAGCTTTGATGTATGGCCTTATTTCATTTGATTTGCAAATTGTTAAGAGAAAACTGACAACCCATTAACCACATCAGCTTTTGCTTGTATAATTGGGACCAAGGTTCAAAGTATCCATATGATACGAGTTTCGGTCACATCGTATCGGTACTTAGAAACAGCCAATACATACTTTTTTTTTAGTTTTTTTTTTCAAAGTTTAGTTTTTTGGATAGCTTATAAGATATTTTTTATTATTAAAAAAAATTGGGGGTCCAAAACACCAGGAAACAGGCGTTTCGGACCATATCTTTTTCAAAAGATACGATACGATACGCCCCGTATCGGGCGTATCGTATCGATACTTTGAACCATGATTGGGACTAAATAAAAGTATTTGTTTTGTGTAGAGAGGAAAAAAATAATAGGGTAGACTAGAGAGACAATAAGGATGAAAAGAAGAGAAACAAGAGAAATAAATCAGCTAGAAAAAAACTCGAGATGGCATGCAGCCCCCATTCTCTTATTTGCGTCTTAACAATACATAGAATGACAAGCATACCCCTGGCCAAGCATAACAAGAAAAAACAAATAAACAATAAATAAAACAAAAATAAAGTATGCAAAGTATCCCAATACTTATCCTTAGATTGAACATGGACATTTAGCATGCCCACCTTGCCTAAACTATGACTTTAGACATTATAATCCCCTAAATAAATACATTAGCTAACTGCATGTCAAATGTCAAAAATGGAAGACAAACCTCAAAAAATCATATGTTCCCCAAATGAAGTGCCAATCAACCTCAATGCATTCAGTCCTGTCATGCTTGAGGCTTAGGCTTCTTACAGAAATCACAGCAACTACTTTCTTGTCTTCCATATTACTCACCCTATCAACAAATGTAGGCATTGGCTTTAACATTGGATAAGCTAAACTGATCATCTATAAAAGTCTGTAGCATCTGAAACATCCTACTCTCCCCAATAACTAAAGAATAGGATTGAAATAAATAATACTATCATAACTGAGAATGTCCTACTCAACTGCCTCTAGGTGATCAATCTCTTACCATAAAGATTTCAACATAGAAAAGTACTCCACATATTTTAAATGCATGCATGTGTGCAATTATGCCAACTCTAAATAGTTAACACCATCAAGTTTCACAAATAAGTGCCTGCACACTCGAGCTATCCTTGATACCACTCTAAACAAGCTCACGCTCAAAACCATGATTGAAATCACTAACAAAAGAGTCCATCAATTCCAAATAACTATAATCAATGGTCCTAAATCCTAAAATGCAAAAATCCTTGACCTAAAATCAAGATTCACAGGGATAGATTCCCCTGGCACCAAAATAAAAGGGGAGAAATAGGAGCATTCACTCTAGAATGTTAGATTGCTATGCAACCAAGATTGAGCTCTAAAAGACTTCAATATACATTAATTTACCTAATTGATCAAAATTTTGCATTAATTTGTACCTAAACACCATGCCAAATGCTGCTCCCTAAGCTTCAACCAAGCAAAAACTTCAAAACTCTGTTTTTTATTCAATTTCTGAGAATTTCTTTGGAACTGCTCCAAGGTGTCAAAACACTCACAATCAATCTCCAAATCTTCTAGAAATCAGGCAAATCAAATAGCATTGACCAGCCTTTTCAAAATTCCAAGTCATATGTTCATCATGGAACTGTATGGATTTCATCCCAAAGAATTGTAGAAACTCCTTGTATATGTATGTGTATGTCTGTCTTAACAATACATAAAATGACAAGTGTTTTTCAAAAAATACATAAAATGACAAGTATTTATCAAAAAAAAAAAAAAACATAAAATGACAAGTATACCTCTGGCCCTAGTCAACCATAATAACAAAAACAATCAACATCATCATTCAAGCCTCATCCCAACTATATGGGGTGGGCAGATAAGAACAAATCAACAATAAATTAAAACAAAGTGTGCAAAATATATAAATGGAAGTGTTTTCCTGGATTTCTTCTCAATTACACAAATTCTATTCCAGCCCAGCATTATTTTCCAATAATTTCAAGCAACAGAAATTTCAGTAAGAAAAATTTCCATAGCAAACTTAAAAATCTAAAGAGATGGAAATGCACCCACCATTTCATGGTTCCAAAAACAATATTGCATCCAACCAGTGTAGAGTAGTGCAGCATTCTTTTCCGGAGCTCCTCTTGACCAAAAACATCAGGATCTTCCCAGTCAAACAGTTCCTTGGAAACCCACTGGCTGCAGATAATTGAGATCCTACTCAGAGTAAACTAAGGAGGCTATCATAAACTAGATAAAAAATAAAAATAAAAGAAAAGAAAAAAAAAACCAACAACTTACACACCAAAAAAATCAGCATTCCAATTTCTTACATCTATTAATAGATGGTTGCAAAGAATTTTAACTTGTTCACCTCACTGTAAAAAAAAAGTCCAATAGAAATATGATTAATTGATTTAAGAATGTATAAAGAAGATTATTAGCAACAATTATATGAGCATGCACCACTAATAGCAACTACAATCTCAAAAAGGGGAAGTTTGCAACCTATTTAGCTTAAGGAGGAAACAAGGAGAATTAGAAATGGATAAATAATTTGGATCAAAAACTTTATTTATTACTATGTATAGAACAATCCTCCCATGTCTAGATTTCATGTACATGAAAACAATAAGCTCACCTAATAATGAGATGATTTCTTATGCAAGTAGAAAACACCCTCAATTTGGCTCTTTTTTTTTAAATTTCATGCACAGATTCAAGTGCATTTTGCCTTCGTGTACATGAAAACAAGAAGCTCACCTAATAATGAGATGATTTCTTATACAAGTAGAAAACACCTTCAAGTTGGCTCTTTTTAAGAAATTTCATGCACAGATTCGAGTGCATTTGCCCCCATCTGCTTGATTTAAGAGAACATAACATGTCAAATTAGTTACAGGTGCATCATTTGACATGAACACTAAGTTATTTACTTTGCAATAGAAATCGAAATCCATTTATAATTAAGAGAGACTTATGATTTAACATGTCATCTTAAAGGTCTAAATCACCAATTTACAAATATAGATGGAAGAAATCATAAATAATTATGAGAACGAAAAATTGTATCAAATCAAGCAAGACAGACATAAAGGTAGCAACTATAGTTTCCCATGGAAGATGATGGTCTATTTACTTCCTCATGGTGACCAGTTTCCACAACCCAGAAGAACTTCTCAGACATCAGGCTTAAATCTATGAAGCCACCATACCCTCATCACTACCTAGCAAAGAGAACTGGCAATCTTCTCATCCTCCATTGCAACTTTAATTGATGAAGGATCATTAACAGGTTTATCAAAAAGACACTTGGGACTTCCTCATTGCACATCTATTACATTAAACAAGAATTTGTCTCCTAGTCATTAGAACTCTCTAGTCATAAGAAACAAATTAGTTAATGAGCTACTCTGCCAACATAATCTTTATAGAGGATGTGGAGACGAAAAATCAGAGAAGATGAGTGATCAAGATGTGGCTGCAGTGTTTCACAATTCACGATAGCATCAAACACAATGTATGCTCTTTTGGATGTTGTATTCATGACAACAACTTCTGATCACGTCACTGAGAATGATTAGCCAATCATCCAAAAGGAATTGAAATCCCACCAGTACATGTATAACTCAAAATTGTGCATGCCAAGGAAGACTGCACCTAAACATGCCTATGCAGATACTATATGAAAAGATTGTTTTGGGAAGAACATCGCACATGATTTACTTATTGATATAGATAATGAGATGGTAAAATATCGCTACCTTTCATAGATGGCCAGTAGGGTATAACAGACAAGACAATGAGGCAATAAGCAGGCATTTAATGAAGCTTGCATCACTTGGAAAATAAATAACAAAAAATCAAGCACAAGGGCCTCGATCTAAAATAATTCACTTGACTTGTCTACTTTTGGTGGAACAGTTAACTTTGTCTTCACAGCTGTCTTTTTTCTCAACCAGTTAAGTAGAATGGAAAGGTAAAATAAAGAGAGAATATATAGGTGTAGCCGTAAATTGTGCCGCATTGTTATTTCAAGTCACTTCTCTAAACTGTGCAAACCTTTTAAAGAAATCCAAGAATAGCTGCCCAACAGCTCTCTTCAAGATTATTAATTCTCAAGCGGGACAAACTTCTGGTTGCATCTTACAGAAACTTTACCCCTAAAAAAGGTTATATGGGAGGCATAAAACCTAAAGAAAAGTGAATCTACAGTTTCAATTTCATGGATAAAATCCGATAACATGTGCTTTATTCAACTGGTGTGCTGAATTCATTTTTCATAGAAATGGTCAATACTCGATGCCACTCCAGCCATCAAGAACTTTCATACAAATAAAATGAAAACATGAAAACTCAATTTAAAAACTACAAATGCCTTCGCCTCAAAAGGGAAGTCCATGGGTTATTCACATTAAAGAGGAACAAAAATTTGGCATCACAAACACAAACATAACTTGGAACAAAACTTCATTTATTCACAGAACGAAATAAACACATTAAAAAAGACTTCTTCCACTTTTTAGGTTTTCAAATGCAAACTCCAAAACATCCGACCTCCGCTTGTTTCTCTTTTCTCTATTTATAACAAACTGGTCTAATGAGAATCAAAGAGAATAGATACAAAGCGTACAGAAAATTATCTAATCAGTCATCATGTCCCATGGCAGCTAAGCAATAAACCTAGAAAAAAATTGTTATCCCGCGTTATTGTAAACAAAGAGAAATATCATATTCTTCCATACATGTTACCAAACCAAGTTAACAGATTGGGAGAAACACTGAACCAGTGAAAGAAACTACAAGAAAAGAGGTTCAATTCAACCATGGGAGCCACGGAACTGTAGATTGAACCAAAATAAACTAGACCATCTCAGCACATTCCTGCTTCCATTTTTCTTTTGGTTCTGTTTCCACGAATAGCAACACCAACCATCAATTGTAAGAAGCATCGCCCTTCTAGCCTTCTAGGATCTCCGGCTCCGAGTCCGAGAAGCTATTGCATCCATAGGACTAATTGGAGAAGGTGACGAAGAATTGATTATCTTTTCACCCTCCCTCGTTCTCTTGTTTTTCTTCAATGGGCTACCCCTGCTTCTCCCTGCAATAATAGATCCATTTGCACTTGCATCCTTCCTCTTCCCACCATCTGTTTCAACTTTCTTCAGTGCAGGGCCACCAACAACCTTATCAAAATCATCTCCAAGCTTCCTTGCCGCCCGCCGAAGTCGCGCAACAGGGGTTTCTTCCACTTCTTCCTCCTCTGAATCATCCGCATTTATACCATCAACCCTCCGCGAAGGTGCCGGTGGTGGCGATGCGGGAGAAGCAGCAGATCGACGGGCTGAACTCCTAACCGGTGAGACCTTCTCCTTCGCATTCTCATGTACGACTTTTTTCCTTAATCTCCGAAACCGAACAGTCGGGCGTTCTTCTTCCACTAAATCGTCCTCATCGACAAGAAAATCGCCTCTCCGGGTGAAAGGAGAAGGAGAAGGATCCGCATTAGGCGAAGTAGACACATCGATATTGCTTTTCTTGAGGTTCTTCTCCGTCTCTTTGGCTTTCAACTTGTTCTTAAGCTGCTTCTCCTGCTGGGCTCTGAGCTTTTTGACGCTGCCTTCGATCCTTCCTTGGAGCCTGCAACGCTTGAAGCTAAGACCGCCCATTGACCAGTGGGCGTCGTTGGCCCAGGAAAGCAGTGGCTCGAGAACGGGCAAAGGGGGATCAACCCTACCCTCGTCGCTCAGCTTCACGTTTGTATAGATCCATGGCCTCGGTAGGCTGCTCCCGTAGAACTTCCCGGGACCGAGCGCAACCACCATGACTAACCAACGTAGATCGAGAGAGAGAAAGAGAGAGAGCGAGGGAGGGAGGGACGAAAGGATGGAGAGAGATGGCGCGAAAATGGCGTCCGGATGTGTTCCTTTTATAACGAACGGTGCCCATGGATATGGTGGCGGGATTGTTTTGGCGCGAAGATTTGACCGTTTGGCGGTAAAAAGAATAGAAAACCCGCCATGCTATGCACATGATCTCATCAATGTGGAAAGAGGGAAGGAATGTTGTAGATTCCGGGGCCCGGGCCCGGGCTGATGCCAACTTGGCTCAGCCGGCTTAATGTATTTTCAGCGGACCACATCCTGGCCGGGTTTAGACATTGATCCGATAGGAGTTAATTTCTTTCGACTGAAAAATAATGCTAGTTGGCGTTAGGTGTGTCAATTGGACTGGATTTAGTCCAATCCGATCCAGAAGAATGTGAGCCACTTGCAAATGGACCAGATCCAATCCAATCCAATTTAATGATTTTTTGGACCATTTGGGACCAGTGCAGTTTAATGTCTAGACCGTCTAATGATCAATTTGTTTTAATTTAGATATAAATACATTATGGATGCATCAGGTCCAACCCAATTCAATAAATATTTTAGACGGGTCCAATTCAATATGTGTTATTGGTTCATTCAATCCATCCAAATCGATTTTGGTTTGAACGAATCCAATCCAAAACAGGTCCATTAACACCCCTAATTGGCAACAGAAACATATTAATACACCAATAACACAACACAGATAAAAGTCAAAAAAACCACCAAATTGGGTGTTCACGGGAAATTTGTACCGAGTTGATGAAATCGAACCCAAAAAAAACAGTTAGTTAAACTGATAAGTTCAGTTTTGATTTAACTTAAAAGACGTAATGGTGATTAGTCGACTGAATGGTATAACAGTTCATGATTGCACGCCTCTCCTTTCTCCTTTAATCCTTTCATGCTTTCTTCTTAACTCTCTCTCCTTCCTCCCTTTCTCTTTCCCAACCATCCATTAAGGAGGGGCTTAGCTAGGATTTTGTATCAATGGAAGCCAAAAGCTAGCAAGCATGGATAGGGGGCAAAAGGTAGTAAACATAGGCATAGGTAGGGGCCAAAATCTAAGAATGATTAAATTGAGTACTATGGGGATTTTTAAGGCAGGGCCATTGCCCCCCTTTGCCACCTGTTATTAAGCCAAGCCACCAAAGATATAACCTATCCCATTAAACCACGTCACCCCTTTCTTCCCAAAACCTCTCCCTCTCTCGACGAGTCATGGCAAGCCATGAGAGAATAATGGAAACCACATTCACCAATAGAAATTTCTAGAAATAAAAAGTTGTTATCCTATAACCTCCCCCTCTTCTTTATCATTTACCTTCCTCCTTGTCAACACCCAATTTTTGTTTAATACCCTCTTTAACCCACTTCTTACACCCCAAATGTCTTATATGACCTCACCAATATCTTTAGAACATGCTAAAACTCTAGGAAACCAAATCTCAACTCAAATACCCTCAAATTCACTCTTAAATCAATAAGATTCCCTTTTGATGGTTCCGATTATGCAACATCACCACACTCGTTACCCTACCAGACCCCATCACATGAAACCAAACCTTCAAACAACCAATTACACAAAATTTCAGTCATAAATTCCCTGATCTTGTCATTCATCCATCAGATATTCCATTTCAACGTACTTAACATTACAACAATTATTGAGCCCAAAACCTGCAATCCACACGTCTCTAATGCGATCAAACCTTCACAACAACCTCGTAATTCAAATCCATGCCACTCCACCAAATTCCAACTTAGAATTCCCTTATTTACCCATCAATTAACCCAATATTCCATTGTAAGCCCCTTCATTTGCCAAAATACTCATAACATAGATCCTCATGATTCCCACACCACTAAAACCACCACACACTTCCATTAGACTCCAAGGACCACAAGATACCCACCGCCCAAATTTCATATCCAAAATTCCCCATTTTGCCCTCATTTCAAAAGATTTCAAATCGATCACTCTTGTTGCTTGCTACTCTCAAAATTTTAGATATTGGTTACGACATCCCTCCCAAGACAAACAAGTCTCACCAAAACCTTCATCGACAACTTGATTGACCATCCGACAAAATTTAGACCCAAAATACCCATTTTACCCTTCATCCAAGAAGATTCCAAATAAACGATCCCCATTGGCCACCACTCTCCTAATCCGAGATCTTCATCGAGATACTCCATCCAAGACCCCAAAACCTCCATCAACTTCCCGATCAACCATCCATCCAACTTCATACCTCAAAATACCCATTTTTCCCTTCATAAAAAAAGATTCCAAATTGACGATTATCATTGGTTGTCACTCTCCAAATCCAAAATCTTCATCGAGGCACATCATCAAAGACCCCCCCAAACATACCAAAATCCTGATCAACTTTATAATCAACCGACTGTCCAACTTCAAACCTCAAAATGTCCATCTTGCCCTTAATCCAAAACGATTCCAAACCAACGATCCTCATTGGCCACTACTCTCCAAATCAAAGATCCTCGATTTATGATCCTTCACATTTCATGCCTTAAAATGACCTTTTTACCCTTCGCCCAAAAGGACTCCAAATAGGCCATCATCGTCTTCTGATACTCTATGAATTCAATATATCCATCGTTACACATCATCCGCTACATCCAAATCTTATTAAAACCTCTCGATCATCGACTTGTTAAACTTCATACAATAAATTTATGATTTTACCCCTCATCTATAAAGATTCCAAATCGAGGGCTCTCATTGGCCACTACTCTTATATTTCAAGATCTGCATTGTGGTACACCCTTTGATACACCTAGACCATGCCATCACCTTCTTAAACACCTGGACAAACCCTCATCCATTTTTAAAACCCAAAATGACCATTTTAGCCTTCCATCATGAAAAATCCCGATTCGACGACCCACATTGCTTGACACACTCCAAAACATGATTTATCACTCTTACACACCCCTCGAGCACATCAAACCCCTTCATTACCTTTGTTGGATGCCCTATAATCCTCATAGAAATTATCGCCACAAAATTCCCCATTTTCCCCCTCCATCTACAATGATTTCAATTTGTGCAATCTCGTCGGTCGAGATAAACCCTAACATCTTGAGTTTAAATCTCAACCCTTGAATCCTACACATCATATGCCTTCTCATTGCAAAAAAAAACGTTATATTTTTCATTTAAGTCCGTACACATTTTTGAAATTCACCTCAAAGCCCTCACTAAACCTAAAATCAATCCTAGCCCTAGATTTAAGCCCCCCATTGCTTCTCCACCCTAGGATTGGCCTAATCCTCACTTCCACACCCCAAAACCCTAAATTCTAAAACCCTAGTCGCCCCCTATAGTTTTGGCTCCTAATTTTGAATTTTAAAATTTAAATTTCAAATCCCCCTCATTCTAGACATTAAATGAGGGGGAGACAAGTGGGAATGAATTAAGGAGCCTTGTCTAGGAGACCCCACCCATTAGATTAGCATAAATAGATCCTAGCCCTCCAACCACTTTAGCCAAACCCTAAAACCCTAACCATTATCACTTAAACCCTAACTAGACACTAACCCAATTTGGTGCAAATACAAGTAGACCACCCCAATTCGGTCCATTCCCAACTAATTGAACCAACCACCCTCCCTTCAGTTTTAAAGAAAACCTATGAAAAAATAAAAATAAAAAAAAAGAAGAGAAAAACTATAATACAACAAACTGAACCAACCCTAAAAAAAAAAATAAAAAGATAGTCCCACTCTTCCCACAAAACTCTCCTCATCTTCTTCCTCCACCTCCTTCCCTCACCACCAGACACTACCTCTCTTCAGATAGAACCCCATTCTCACAACTCTCTTCTCCCCCTCCCACCCATCTTTTCTCCCTCACAACCATTGAAACATCATCGTCTCTATCCTCTATCTCCCTCTCCTTCCATCATATTCTCTCAAGCCAAAAAGAGAGAAAAATAGTAAAGAATTTTCATTCGGCAAGAAAAGAAGAACAAAGAAGAATAAGAGGAGAAGAAGAAGAAAGAAGTTAAGAAGGAAAAGGTCTACTTGCCCCAAGGAAGAAGAAGAAAAGCTCACCCATTTGTTCCAAGAAAGAAGGTAAAGGAAAGCCCTTCCTACCCCGTTCAACCAAGTAAAGAAACCCCAACCCCTCTCTCTCTCTCTCTCTAGCTCTCTCACCCCTACACCTAAACTGAAAATCCCATACTCTTTCACCATTCATCACCTTCTACTTCCCTAATTGAAATCCACTCCTTTAGCAATGTCTTAGGGTCGAGTTAATCCCAATAACAAAGCAAGAAAGGAGATTCAACCATTGCATTTGTGCAAACCTGAAGTCAATATTTCAACATCCTCCATTCTACAGGGTACTTGATCAAAGACCACAAAGAGGTGAGTTATTCACCTCATCCCTTTTTTATTTTAATTTTTTTTTATATTTTCTTCAATTTTACTAATGTTCTAGGATATATATTTTTTTCAGCATTATGTATCTTGTTGGTTAAAGGTTGTTGTGTTTTTTTTTTTAAAGTTGATTTCATAATTGATGCGATGCAATCCGGTTGCTCCTAACTGGAGATGACTTGGCTTCCAATAGACGACAGACTTGGCTTCCAATAGACGACAGACTTGACTAATCTGCACAAAGAGAATCAGAGAACCCGGGGGTGCTTACCCGACAAGGTCGCTCCGATGCTTAAGTCAGTAACTTGCGAGCTGATGGTAGCTTAGAAAGTAAGGGAGCTAGTGAGCAGAGATTACGCATCATCTTTCCCCCATTTCTCCTTATTTTTCCTCCTCCTTCGCCCCTGGGGGGTGAGCTCTCTATATACTGGAGTCCTCGCGGGTTTGGTGGAGCAGTTCCTGGATTCTCGCTGTGATGGGACCTATTTTTGTGTCAGGTGGGGATAAAGCCACCAACCGATAAGCTTGCCAATTTCCGCCTAAATGTGCCAAGGTAATTGCCGACAGCCTAGCAGCTATTTCTGATAACCCCCTTTAGTCACTGTGATCACCAATAGGACTGATTTTGA